GGGAAATGGTACTTCAACTTATGACGATTTCGAGTTATGTCCATCTTCTGGAACTGATTGTGGTCGTAAGTCAAGGCACCACTGTACCAAAATCTAATATTTGATGCCAAAGAATGTGCTAACATTAAGTCCCTGTTATGGCATCAAGATGCTCTTAATGTGTTCTTTACTGTCTGCCTTTCTCTCTGCTTTAAATACTTCAAAGCTTTAAAAAGCTTCCCAGACTATGGAGAATTTACGGTGCTGAAAATTATGGCCCATGTGAGCAAGGAAGAATTATTTTGATGTTATGCATAGATGTGTTTGTTCTTCAGACAATCTGGAGGAAAGAACCAGTATCTCCTGTCACTGTCCTTTTGAAGATGACGCTTTATCTCAAATTAGGTGATAAATATTATACTACTGCCTTGATAAGTGACTGGCATAAACTGTTATATTATGACATAACAGTATGTGATACAAGTTTCTTGATGACAGGTGTTACCTTTTCTGAATTTCAATTGTCAAATTTTCTTGCGTTGTGCCATAATGAAAAGGTTACAGATTTCATCTTTGATTTGAAAGGGAATGTATGTATGTCGCAAAGGGAGGAGAATATTCCTCAAATCATTAAAAAAAACAAAAAAATGAGGCTAGCTTTAAAAAAACACACTAACAAACACTGGATGGCCTGGAGCCATCTGCAGGAAGTCGTGCTTCCACGTGCGGGCAAAAACACTGGTCTGTCTCTTGTTCAAAAATCATTGTGTCTTCTATAAAGCAATCATATTTTCTTAATACTTACTTTTAAAAAATAATCTCTATTTATATGTATGATTTTGTACAATAAAGGAAAAAGGCAGGATATAAATCAGATAAAATAGGAATCATTACTACTAGCACTATAGTAACTTCCCATACAGCTAATTATACTGGCTGACTCTCATCCTTTGGAAAAACAAAATACCTGGCAGCAAGGTTTGATTGATTGAACAGTTTCAATGCATCCAACTGAAGGTTTAGTTGCTGGACCAGTATGATCCATTTTAATTGATGAGGCAGAGAAGCTTAAGGCTCAACTTCTTTTTCATATTCTAAGGGCTGTGTTCTATTAGTTTTATTGCAGAATGAAATAAAGCGTTAACAGTGACTTCCTTCTTTTAGTAAACTGTTTTGTTCCATCCTTATATTAAAATTCACTTGTATTGATGTTTTGACACTTAAAAGGTAAAGGTTCTCCTTAACGATTAAGTCCAGTCATGTCTGATTCTAGAAGCCAGTGCTCATCCCTGTTTGTAAGTCAAAGACTAGGCGTTTAAATGGGTCACCTTCTGTTTTAAAAAATGGATGTTGTATCCATTAAATGTTCCTTAAGTCTTTGAGGGTCCAAATGAAAAGACAGTTATTAAGGCTGCATAATCAGTTTTTCAGTTTTCACTAGGGATGTGCATTTGGATTCATAAATATTTGAAATTCACCAAATAATTCCATATTCAGATAGTTCCAGATATATTTGAATCCAAATTTGATAGTTCCACTGGATATCTGTAATAATAACTACTAATATTCAGGAATCCCATTATCTCCTATCAATGTGTGGGCAGAGGAATGCGCAGGAATGCACCTTAGAAAGAATCTTGGCTCCTGTATATTAGAAAGTAAAAGGCTAGGTTTCTATTTGCTAGAGGAAGAAGTGAAAGTGAAACATATTTCTTAAGAATACTGGAGTGATTTCTTGAGAAATTAAACTTAAAGACACTCTTGACACCAGGAGTAGTGGGGCAGAGAACTCAGTACAGTATCTCATGATTAGAATTAACATTGGCTTTCAAGGAAAGGGGGCTGGAGTAAGAGCAAGTGATGTCCTCTCTGCACCAGTGAAATCTAGAAGCAGGCTCAGACACCAGAAAGTATTTTTTCACATTGTTTTTTCCAATTGAAAGGTAGGCATTGCTGCTTATAAATCCTCTGAGCATTTATTGTTTGGATATGATTTGGTGCAAGCCTGCACTGTAGCAGTTTTCTCTTGTGTCCTTTCCTGAACTCTCAATTTACTTTTACATTCTCTACATGCCATTGTATATTGTTTATTTAATATAGTTAGAAATAAAATTTAGGATTAATAGCTTCATAGACTAATATAAATCAACAGGAAAATAGATTTAGGCCTCTTTTGGGTAAATCAGGCATCAGGATAAGATTTTGTTATATAGAGACATACATTAAGTTAATAAATGTGTGTGTGTTTGTGATTTCACTGGAAGGGTTTGTGCTCTGCTGCTGCAGAATCAGGTACTGTTGTTCTTTGCGTAGTGTCTGCAGGTTTTATGAAATGTGGGTGTGGTAGAAGAAGTAGGCACTTGAAAAAAAATTCTGGAATGTCACCTGCATGCTCTTCGGCTGCTTCAACTGAGAGGTGTAGGAGAGGGAGAAGAAAAAGACAACCTGCAACTGCTCTTATGAGCCCCACAAGCAAAATCTGTCACCCAGCTGTCTTGTTCAGCACTGACACTATGAAAGCAATGCAGTGTATGTGTGCCTCTGCCAGTGAAGTGGCAAAGAAACCTCTGATTCAAAGTGAGACATATGAGTGAACCTCAGACATGTTCCAGTGACACCTTTGTGCAATCCAACCAGGGAACGGGCAAAAGAAAGATGGTGAAGAAAGGACTTTTCTCCCAAAGAGCTGATTTGTCAGAGAAAGATAACTACAGTATAGCATCAGCACTGAGACTGACACTGTCTTGGACAGCAGCAGTGCCACTACTTTTGTGATTGGGAGAGAGATTTATGAAGAGCACCAGACATTGCCTTCCATACCCATACTATGCAGCTCCATCATTCAAGAAAGACCCTCCATTCCCAACCTCCATTTCCCAGCCTCCATTCCCAGCAAATCTATCTTGTGCGAAGCAGCATTCTAGTTGTTGGGAACATCCTTTCAAATACTTATACATCTGCCATGGGGGAAAAGGAAACTGAGAGGATTCAGGTGGGCACTGTTTCAGAAGCATGTGGCATTGAAATCACCTCTGCCCCTCCCAACAGCACATGCCTCACCAGTTGTTGGAACTAGTAGTGATAGAAAGTTAGCAATCCTTGTTAGGAACCTGTGATCAAAAACTGGAGCTCCCAAGAAGTCAGTAGTCTGGAGGCATTTTGAACACTATGCAATGGATGCTCGCATGGCTGATGAATACACAGCAAGAAGATGCTCAAGTCTAGGCAGGACTTGGGCCATGTCTGCAATACTAGCATGCTCAGCATGCTGAAGACTCAGCAAAGGGCATTACTGCTGCCAAATGAAGTGGGTACTGTGGGGGCAAGTGACTTCCTTGTCGTGAAATCCAAAAATATCTGGAAGGCCAAAGATTCCTCAGCCCAACTCTAGGACCTGGAAAACTAACATGTACTTTTGTCTTTTAATATGACAAGATGACAAAAGAAAATTAGATTAGATGCATATGAAGAACATTTGGGATTAGCTTGTCCTAGCTCAAGCTGAGTAGAGTTTTTCATTGGTTGTTTGAACAGCTCAGATATGTCCAACCAGGAGAGTTAGTAGGCCTCCATATATTGTGGATTTAAAATCCCATCATTCCCAGTCAGCATGGCTAGTAATCAGAAGTAATGAGAGCTGTTATTCAACTAAATCTGGAGGGCTATAGATTGCCCACAAATAGCATGATACCATAATTCATCTTTGAAACTGCACTTTAATTTCAAGAGTAGTTCGCTATTTATCATTGGGGGATATGTTAGAATAAACTAATCCTGAAGCACAGAACCTTTCCCCTCTTTCCTCTTTATTTGTATCAGAGCACTGCACAATTAAAATTATGGATCTATATGAAATATACTGATTGTAAAATTAAAAAAAAATGTTAAGATCATTAGATTATTTTTGACCAGAAGTGGGCTACTTCAATAGTGTTACCTTGGCCATTGACTAGATCTTCTTTTGTACACATGGAGGGACATAAATTGCATGCACATAAGTGCTGCATGGATTGAATTTCTCTACAGTCATAGAAAATTTGTCCTGTATCCAAGTAGCCCCATTTTGCTTGATTATTCTTTGATCTTCCTACTTCACTCTGAATTCTATTAAGTAGCTTCGAGATGGTCCAGCTAGAGTCTTGTCCTGGTCAACATTCATCCATCAGCAAGTGTTTCATTTTTGTTCTCCAGTTTTAGCTTTACTTTTAACCTTTAGAAGGCCATATTCTCACAGGTGTCATATGCTGGTAAGGACAGATACATCCTGTTCTTTGACATCCCCATTCATTCTGTCTGGTACCTGTCCACTTGGGGGACGTGTTGGCGCAGTGGAAGCCTCTGTGCTGCAAGGTCGGAAGACCAGCTGTCATAAGATCGAATCCATGGAAGGAGCTCCCGTTGCTTGTCCCAGCTCCTGCCAACCTAGCAGTTCAAAAGCATGCAAATGCGAGTAGATAAATAGGTACCATCACAGTGGGAAGGTAATGGCGTTCCGTGTCTAGTCATGCTGGCCACGTGACCTCGGAAACTGTCTTCAGACAAATGCTGTCTCTGCGGCTTGGAGACGGGGATGAGCACCACGCCCTATCTTGGTCCTTTGGATCTGGCTGCATTATATTAAATAGACCTTTAACACTGCCCTCCCATTCTTTGACATGAACCTACTAGAAACCCCAAAGGAGTTCATGAGACTAAAACAAGAACGCTATACACAGTCACTTCTGGAAAGCAAGAGTCACTGTGAGTGAGTGCTGTAAACTGCTTTCTGTTGTTGTAGTATGTGAGGAGCCATTCATCTGAAGAAGTTGCGCTTTGGCAAAACAACTGTAAAGCACCCTAAATGTAATTTATAATGTAATTTAGCTTCTTGTTTAAAATGACCTATTGAAGATTACAGTGAAGCTCTGGAGTGGTTAGAAGAATGGAACATAGACTTCCTTTGCCAGACTTGAAAATGCCATTTTTAGATAATTTAACTGCACACAGTGCCTAACATTTTGTTTTGTTTTCTTTCTTACCAGCAAATATCAGAAAGGGACCCAAGTCCTCCTGAGACTTCTTGACCTTGAACTCACGGCTAGATTCTTGGGAGGCAAAATAGATACAACTTTACTGGAAGCTGATGCAGTGCTCATAGGACTTTACGGCAGCCGAAGAAAACACACAGACTGAGTAAATCTATTAATTATAAATATACCAAAATATTAGCCCTGTATATATTCATTTCTGGCTACATTGAGCAGTCTAATTAGCTTATTTGATTTGTAAACACACTCACTTTGAATTTAAAACATGTGATTTTTAAAAAAAACATTTTCCTTGATGAGGTAAATGTAAATGTAAAAATTACTTTTGCAAATTTGGTTCTGTAATCTACATTTCCCTGTTGATTACAGTCCAATACTGTTAATTATTTCTGTTTTATACAGTATTTGGAAACTTGATACTTCTTGAAAAATGTGTTTATGTGGCAGACACAAGGTATGGGCAGTTGAAATGTGATAGTGGCTAGAATCCTGTCTATTTATGTGACTGTGTAAGGTTGATCATCTCCAGCACCTCCTGCAGGCTCACGTTGGCAGCCTCAGCCACACACTAGCTGCAAAATCAGCTGTGTAGCTGGTTGCATCTTGAATATTAACAGCATGATTGATTGTATGAAGGGGAGCCAGAAGAAGGGAAAGACCCCTAAGAGATTGCCCTTATTTGTTTGTATTTTCTCTGATTGGATTTTGATCACTGTATATTGATTGATGTAGTCTATAGTGATAAACTGTACATAATAATAGACTGTTGTATTGCAGCTGCCATTAGTTTCTTATAAAGATGTGGAAGAGGGTGAGCAGGTTCAACACTGGCACTTCCAGGGAGATGCCTCAGAGTCACACCTACTACACACTGAACACCAAAGTACCCATTATATTATTTCCAGTCTTTAAAAAAATAAAATAAAGAAAAATCTTAGTTGGCACTTCCTTTTCGTAGCCCTCATGTCAGGAACATACTTCCCTGGGCTCTGACCAGCTTTCTACAGAAAAAAATACCTCCTCCTGGACTGCTGTTGACCCAAAGGTACTGTTCGTGGTAAATTACAATATCCAAGACACATAGCAATAGATAGAAGGAATTTTCAGGGCTTAAAGATCTAGAACATCCACTGCACTGTGAATACTAGAGGATGTTCCAGATTGGAGCCTCAGAACTATTTTTCCATGAGAATAAAAGTCAGTTTTAGCTTTTCTAGTTATATGTAAAATGAAACAGTTTGATTCTCTTAGGAGTTATTTTTTATGTATGTTCCCTTTTGAAATGAATAATCCCATACCCAGTCACCGCTGTTCATTTCAGTGTCATGTACCCACATAGTTCATGCTGGATGGCATCCTCTGCCTTGTATCATAATTGCATTTATCCTTTCAGGAGTTACATATGAGGCTGATAAATCTCTGTTGTAAGCATAGTGGAGCACCAGTTACTTCTTTTATCTGAATGTTGAGACCATCGAAAAGTACTCTGTACCAACTGTAAAACCTTCACTTCACTTACATTAGTGGCAAGAGAAGAGTAAAGTAGATTTAACCAAAATTGCAAAATGTTAGACCAGCCACTTACAAAGGTAATTCTGAGTCTTAAAACAAACCTTACCAGCCTAAAATATTTCTCACAATATGTTGTTTAATAAGATGCCTTTAAAAATAACATGTTTGGAAAGGGGACATGTTTTAGCATATTCTGTCTGCCAAGCAATAATAAGAGGTGTGTTGTCAGAAATGCTTCCAGCCAGAGACCAAATAAAATAAAAGAGATAAAACCTTAGAGCTTTTCTGTTTGCTTTCAACTGAGCTCTCATTTCATTGTTATTTATTAGTAGAATTTGAACATGCATTTCTCAGAATGTTAGTCTCTATTAAAAATCCTGTATGGCCACTGAAACTGCTACAGTACAGTACTTAAATTTTGAGGAACCAATAAATATGACTGATATTAGGGGGGAAACTGGCTGTTCTGTGGGCATTTGTGGGGTGTCTGAATGTGAACAGAATATATCAGTAATTCAGAAATGTAACAGACTATTTGTCAACATCAATGCAAGAATTATTTTAGATGCAGATAATTTGTCATTGCCTTAAAAACACTTTGGGCTTGTTAGTAGGGTTTATTAAATAAATAAATAAATAAATAACAACTTGTCTTGGTGTGATGTGATTTTTGTTGTGATTGTTTTATCTTAGCTCAGACATGTTTCCAGTTTGGGACAAGATCTTGCAAATACTTTGAAGTTTGGTTATTTTATTGGTGCAAGTAGTCTCTGCATTGATAGAGATGACAGCTATTTGACATCACTGTTGTTTTTTTAAGTGGCTGTGGCCAATTCATCACTTGGATGGCAACCCTTGTGATGACAAACCTCTCTGTACATAGCTCGGCTGGTCCAGGCATGTACTTTGCTACTGGGACCATGCTCATATCCTGAGTGGTTTCAAATAACTTGCCTGAGCTTGTCTTTGGCTGCCACAGTGTTTGAGAGCCTTATCCATGAAGCAACATAGGGCATTTTTGGAGGGCATTTATATGTACTTATACAATAAATAATAATAATAATAATAATAATAATAATAACAATAATAACAACAACAACAACAACAACAACAACAACAACAACAACAACAACAACAACAACAACAACAACAACAACAACAACAACAACAACAACAACAACAACCTAATGCTCTTATAAACATCCCTAAGTGCTTTACTTTTCTCTTTAGGAATTAGTGGAAGATATTTGATTATAGGTTTTTAAAAGCTACATTAAAATATTTGTTTTAACCATGCAGCCAGTGAGAATCCTCAGGATTTCCCTTTGCATCATGTTTCATAAGAAGTTACTCAAAGTCACTTTTTTTAACATTACAAAGAATTTGAGCATTTGAAAATAAATTAAATATGGAAGAAACTGAAACTAACATACCTGCTCACATCTAGAGCCTCAGTTGGTGGATAAAAACAACATCATTAAACAGTCCATGTATGCTGTTGTCTTTGTTATCTGGGCTTGAGCCTGACTAAATATTATACCTGGAATGTTTGCTATGCATGCTGTCAAATCATTTTTGATTTAACAGTGAATATATGAATTCATAAACTTCAAAAATTTCTATCAACAACAGACCTTGCAGTCTAAAGGCTGTTAGTTCCTCTACAAGGTCAATCCATCTTATGTTAGGTCTTCTTTTTGTACTGCTTTCCTATTGACCTAGAATTACTGTCTTTTCTAGTGACTCTTCTCTTTATATGGCCAAAATACAAAGGCTCGGTTTATTTAGTTTAGCTTCTAGTGAGAGGTCTGGTTTGATCTGACCTGAAACCACTTATTTGTCTCTTAGTCCATCCTATCTGAAAGCTCTCCTTCAAAGTCACATTTTGAATTAATTTAATCCTCCCACCCCCGTGAGCTTTCTTCATTGTCCAGCTTTCACATCTGTACATAGTAATCGAGAATACCATAGCCAGTCTCTAGTGACACATATTTGCACTTAAGGATTCTTTTCCTTGTTTCTTCATAACTGCCCTGCCTGTACAAGTCTCAATTTGTTCCTGATTCCTTGACTGCAATCTCTGTTTTGGATTCAGAATGAACGGTACATAGCTTCTGAATATTTATACCTGGCATAAGTGCTATAAAATAACATCAAATGTATGTTGTAATTGCTCTGATGTGATCATGCTTCCTGGCTCAGTTACAGTTAGGCATGCTGTCATTTAAAGGAAGTCCACTACCTTCTGACATTCATCTGAAATCATCTATAAAGTATTCTCTACTCAGCATTCTCTTGACAATTACGGTAGTTGAATCTGAAATACAATTTGGACACCTTTTAAAATATACTGAGAAGTTTATCTCTTGTACAAGAGGATGCAGGGGTGAAGTATAGCTTCCTATGTTTCCTATTTTGAGTGCAGTGATAACCACCTACCCAGCAACTGGTGCAATTATAAACAAAATAACAAAATGCTGTCTAAGCAAAATTAGGGGTTATGATTTTTTCTGATATCCTTTCTTTTTGAAATTCTTACTCCTTACTTAAGCCTTGACTTCCTAAAACAAGTAAACAGTGCTCACACATCTGTGTTATATTTCCTTCTTTTATTAAGTTTGCCGCTTCCAAGCAACCACATAAAACGTGCATCATAGTTGTTGTTTCTAGGTATCAGCCTTGCCTTATATTTTATCAGAGAACAAACAAATTCTTATTTCAAATGGAAAATTCATCATTTGTTCCATTTATCTTCTGCTTTGTACAAATTACAAAGTTGTTATTTCTCAAACTCAGTTCCACATTCAGTTTGATCTACACTTTGAACCTTGGAGTTTAGCCCCTGTATAAAGCAAAATGTTTATTGATACACAAAAACATGCACACGCGTTATGTCTGCGTGCGACAGACATATGTGTACACTTGTATGCATATGCTTTATAGTAGTAGGACTACTGGGGGCAAAGACTGGTTTGTGCCTATTCCAGCCCTATGAACTTTGGGGCGGGAACAGTGTTAAAAGATCAAGATCTGTGTGCCCCCCAGTTCTGGCAAACAAAGCGGGCCGCCTGGCTTTTGGGGCAAAGCAAGCGTGAGCTGTGAAAGAGCAGCGGCTGCCTGGAATCCCATTTTGCTGCGCCCTTTGGCCTTCGGGCTGCAGCTTCCTTGCACACGCTGGAGCACAGGGGAGCTGAAGTTTCATTTACCGACTGAGCGACTTTGAAAAAAACAGCCCCTGTTCCCAATTAGTGTTGCAAGTTGTCCAGATCAATGGTGGGTTAAACTGAGCTGCCCACTTGAGTGGGGGGCGTAGCGTGCAATAAAAGGAGAAGAAAGAGCGGGTGGATGTGTGTGGGGTGGGAGGCTTGCATCTCTTTCAAGGGGCTGGATTCTTTCAAGCGAGCTGGATTCTTGTGTGAAAAACAACTGCCACAATACTTAAGTTGTAACCTTCTCACCCCTGACGGCATGGGAAAGTGTACTCCTCAGCTGTTAGTGAGGAAAGCGGCCGCTGCAGTCATGAGAAATTTTGATTTAAAAAAATGCAGCTTCAAGCCTGCCCTCCTCTTTTGCACATGTCATCTTGCCTATCAAACGGCTTAATTGGAAAATTAGTCGTGCTTTTCATTTAGAGCCCTGAAAGTTCAAGTGCCAATAATTTCTCAGAGGCCTTTTATTTTCCTTTTGGTTTTTGTCTTATCTCTAAGAACATATTCATTGTTGGGCACAGCAGAGACTCTGCTACAAAAGAGAAGAACAGACGTTTAGGGCTTTCGTCCCTGGTTCGTTCCTTTATTATTTTTTAGATAATAAGCCTTACTTGGTTCTCAGCATATGATTTCTGTGCACTTTTGTTTTTGTCGTGATTGTTTAAAAGGCAGTACTTCTAGGATGTTCAGAGGAAAAGGGAACATGAGCTTGATATATTTGTTGTTTTTAAAAGAAAATAGATGGAATATTATATCTTCTGGATGATGATGTTGAAGAATAGAAGCGTGGTTTCCAAAAAGCAGTCTTCTTTCTAACCACACTTTAATAAAACAATGCAACTCCTACCCCTTCTTTATTTATTTATTTATTCATTCATTCATTCATTCATTTATTTATTTATTTATTTAAATCTTCCTCTTGGAGGGTCGCCCCAACCCCTTTTTTGGGTAACAGGGAGTGTTATTTATTTATTTTTTTATTTTATTTATTTATATCCCGCCTATCTAGTCGATTAAGACCACTCTGTCTGATGCACCTGTAAAAATAAACTTGAAAAGACTGTGGGATTTTTCAAGCTTGCGATCTGGAAATACATATTTAAAATGTTTTCTATGATCATGGTAGTAGACCCTTCTCGGAAAAGAAATGCCTAAAATTATCACTGGGTCATTAAGCTTTCAATAGTCAGTACACCCTACAGGGGGCCTTGGGGTAATCTGTGGGGCCCTCCTATCCCCACCACCATCCCACTCATCATCTCCAACAGCAGAATCCCTTACAAAGGCTTCTGG